AAGAATCCTCCTGCCACTCCGTCCAAAAAGACTCCAGCTAAGGCCAAGGTGGCTAATAAGACGAAGACTCCCACCAAGGCCAAGACAACTCCGGCTGTGAGTAACAAGGCGACCTCACCTAGCAAGGTGGCTTCCACTAAGAAGAGTAAAGTGTATGTCAACTTTTGTCCTCGCATCCATATAAAATTATTGATTGTATCCTCGCTCTAGCGCTGCTTCTAACAATGATAATGAACAGGAATCTGTGGTCAGTGACGATGACCCAAGGTAATTTTGCATACTATTTCTGAGTGGTGATCTCATAACCTTATGTTGTTTAGCGAATCCGGTCATGATTCTCCAACACCAACTGGAAAAAAGTTGGTTTTATTCTTTCAGATTGTAACCAGATTTAACTTCATTTGCTTTTTACCTTAGAAATAAAGCTCATCAAGTGATCTTCGACACTTCTGTGTAAGCTTGACTTAAAGCTATTCGGTGCCCATGTTGAATTTTAGTCAGGTTGAAGACAAAAGCCAGCATTGAGAAATCGAAGAAAAAGAAAACTGCTCAAGATGTCTTTGACAAGGATGAGGTCATGTCCGATGGTGACAAGACAGATGACGGGTTTGTGCTTTATTGAATTTTTTTATACTTTCAACCCATGTTAACCCATTATCAGCGAAAAAGAGATTGTTTATTTAGAAGACATTGATCGTGATCCTTCGCCCAGGCAATTATTTCTATCCTTTTACTTGAACTTTGTCTTATTTGCAACCCAAGTTATCCGAAGTTGTCTAAATGTGGAGTTGCCGCCTCTGATCTTATCGACCCTCTTCTTAAGGAGACGTATAAGAAGTTAACCAAGCTGCCTGGGCAAGTTATCAATAAGTATAATGTGTCCTCATACATCTTACTTGAACCTTATAAATCTAGCAGCTTGAAGTTTATATCATGGAAGGACTCTAACAACGACCAAGAAGATGACAATGGAAATGGGATGATACTTTTCTCTAGCATTGGAGACGTTCACCCCAATATCAATCTGAAGTATGTCTTCTTTCAAATTTTCTCTAACAGAGAGACTCACATTTGCGTCTGATTTATAGGTACATTAAAGGATTAGTCGTGTTCGAGAAGGACTACACGTCCAATATCGTCAACCTTTCTCGCATTGATCCATCACTTCTGGTCTCTAAGAAGACATCCGGTCAAACAAAGGGTGGGCCTCTCGTGTTCATACGGCACTTCAGTCACCCACCTTGAACAAGCTATTAGCCTTGTAAAATGTAAGAATGTATCCAGGCTAATAGGTTGTGTGGCCATTTATTTTTTTGCCTTTGGGAGAAAATATAATATTGGATTGGGTAGAAAATATTTGACCTGTAATATTGTGACCAGAAATGTTTGGGTAAATAAATTGTGTTCAAAAATATCCTAGTCAAGTGAAAGTGGTCAGAAATATTTGAAGGGGTTCAGACTGGTAAGAAATGTTTGAAGTGTGTCAGACTGGTAAGAAATGTTTGAGCCAAGTCTAACTGGCCAGAAATGTTTCAGTGGTGTGACATCAATCAGATATATTCTAAGCATGTCACACTGTTGAAAAATCTTTTAGCCTTGTCACATGGCTCAAACATATCTGACCAGTGTCACGGGGTATCTGGGGTCCCAGTTTCAAGAAAAAAACTTGTTTTTTCTGGTGCAGTTTTCTCATCATTTTGTACATTGCTTTTTTTTCCCCTCAAAACTCATCTAAGTTTGTTCTCACCAATACCCCACTTCTATCTGCCATTTTCACCACTCTAAGTCTGTTTTCACAACATCCCACTTCTCTCTGTCATGTT